CCTTCAACCCCTATCAGGAAATATGTCAAAAAAACTATTAAATTATTTTTCCAAGTGAAACAGTGAAATGTTCACCACTGACTCAGGCATCTAATATACATTCTCACTGCATTCAGGTCTACATAAAATGCTGGCTTATGGTATGGAAATATGGATTAGCATCAAATTCCCTTTTACAGTACCTAATGGGCTGTACAAACAAGCAACTTCCTTTTTCATCCCCATTTAAATATCCCATTATACTTAGAATGGTTAGCAAATCAACCATCTTTTACACCCCACTAGTCAGTCACAACCTGATTCAAAAAAGTGGAAAAAACACTACTAAAAACAAATGACTTTCTAGCCATGTGTGGTGGTGCACACCTGTGATCTCAGCACTCAAGAGGCTGGGGCAGGAGGATCACTATAAGTTGGAGGCCAGCCTGGGCTACATAGTGAGTTCAAGGCCAGCCTGACCTATACATCAAGACCTTGTCTCAAAGACAAAAACAAACAAACAAAAAAATGACCTCCTTACTTTGTAAAATATGAGAAGAGGTAAAGAACACTGAAAAAAAGACTAGAGTTAAGAGGATAAAATAAAAATGTCTAAAACCAAGTCCCAGTCCTGTAAGCTAGGTTTATAGGATCTCTAATCTGTCCCTCTCTTTCAGTATTTTAATGTAGCAACATACAGAGTAGAGTTTAGGAAAAAGGAAATAAAAAATAGCTATCCAGTTATGCATATCTTTAAGAAAGGTTTGCGTTTTTAAAGAAATATTACCACTGAGCCAGGACTATGCCCAAGCTTTAAATTATCCCATTTACAAATTATATATGAGACAGGAGATAATAATGAACACATGTATCAAAATTCTAAGAACTAGATGAAGTAAAAACACTGTGAATTACAGACAATGGTCTAGGAAGTTTCTCAACTTTATATTTGAAAAACTTGTAAATTAAAGTACTATCTGATAAAATTATATATACCTCATAATAAAGTAAATTTCTTACAAAAATACATATTGCATTAAGATAGTTCTCCTCTTTTAGGAAACAGCAATAGTGTAGCGCACTTTCTTCCTAGTGACCTTCATTTAGGACAAGAAAATCAATATTTAATAATGAAACTTTGAATTTGCAATTATAATATCAAACTAAATTAGAGATAATACAATCAGTACACTAAAATAGAGTACCAGAAGCTGATCTTCATAAGGGCAAATAATGGAATACATTAAGTACTTATCTATTTTAAATTCTCTATTTCCTACTGAGGTATAACTTGAAGGTAGGTAGGTACTAAGAAGTAGTTTAACAAAATAGCTTGATTAATTTTAACTGGAAAAAAATCGGAGCACTAAGAGCTAATAAATAAATAAATAAATAAATAAGAGACTCTAGTTTCTTCAAAATCTCAAAACATCTCAGAATAATAACAAAAGTCAGAGCCAGGGGTAGTGGTGCATGCCTATAACCCCAGCATCCTGGCAAGCTGAAGCAGGTGGATCACAAATTCAAGCACAGTCTGGGCAACTTGGTAACTTAGTGAGATCCTGTCTCAAAATGCAAAAAGGGGGCAGGGGTTGGGATGTAGCTCCATGTACTGCAGAAAATAACTTAATTAACTAAATAAAATGAAGTTAATCAAAAATAAAGTCAGAAGCCAGAGATATATCTCAGTGGCACAAGCGCCTGCCTGGCAAGTGCAAGGTTCTGAGTTCGATTCCTGGTACCAAAAATAAAAATAAAAAGTAAGTCAAAAAGATATCCAGTGTTAAAAAAAAAAAAAAAAGATATCCAGTGTTATCAAGTGTAACACAAATCATCTAAAGTGTACTTTTTAGGGCCCAGGATGCAGCTCAGCGGCACAGCACCTGCCTGGAAAGCATGGGGTCATGAGTTTGATTCCTGGTACCAATAAACAGATAAAGTGTACTTTAAAAAATTGTTTTTATTTTTATTTTTGTTTCTTTGAGACAGGGTCTTGTTATGTTGCTCAGGCTGGCCTTAAATTCACTTTGTAGCCCAAGCTGGCCTCAATTCATGGCAATCCTCCTGCCTCAGTCTCCCGAGTCTGGGGTAACAGGTGTGCGCCACCACACCCCATCTAAAGTGTACTTAAGGGGCTGGGGATTTAGCTCAGCGGCAAAAAGCGCCTGCCTGGCAAGCGCAAGGTCGAGAGTTCGGTTCCCGGTACCGGAGAAAAAACCAAAAAAAAACAAAAACAAAATAAAGTGTACTTAAACAAGCTTGCTTAGAACAATCACTAAATTCAGTGCCTTAGCTTGTCTTCACTCTCCATTTCCTCCTCCCACCAAGCATTTTTCAAAGCTCTGTCCCTCAATGGGCGTACATCTGTAATCCCAGCACTCAGGAGGCTGAGGCAGAAAGACTGCAGTAAATTTGAGGGCAGTCTGGGCTACAGTGAGCTCAAGGCCAGATTGCACTATAAAATGAGACCCTGTCTCAAAAAAACAAAACAAAACAAAAAAACCAAGCCAAAACAAAACAAACTTTGTTCCCAGTGTGGAAATGTAGATATCCTGTATGTATTCTCAAACCTTCTGGGATATGAAACCACATAAGCCAAAATTACCAAAATCTGCTATTTCATGGAACCAACAAAAGCCAAAGAATTGAAATAATGCCTACCAACTTCCCTCAACCATGAAAAAATAGTGAGTCCTACTCAATTTAAGTGGTATTTATTAATTCATTCAACAAATACCAGGTACCTGCTATGTAATGGCATCACGCCAGTCATTGATTAAGATACAGACACTATCCATGCTCTCAAAGAACTTCTATTCCAAAGGAAAAGAACCCACAATGAAGTAAATGCACTGACAGAACCCAGCACTAATGTGAATTCTACTAAGTTTATTCTCATGGCCTACATCACTATATATACCTTCCTAAAAACATTCAGTTAATCCACTTAACTCTTTCAAATTACATATGATACTCTTACTTATGCTTATTAAAATGAGAACTAATTTTGCAAATTAATAAATTCTAGAAATTTAGCTTTGAAAAAGTAGCTGCTTGGTGTTCATAGTAGCACTATTCACAATAGCCAAAAACTGCAAACATCCCAAATATCCATCAATGGGTGAAAGGATAAACATTGTGGTATGTGTATACACAGGTACACAATGGAATATTATTCTACTGATACATGCTATGAAGTGCATAAACCATGGGCCAGGGGATTTAGCTCAGTGGCACATCGCCTACCTGGCAAGTATGAGGTCCTTAGTTCGATTCCTGGTACCAAAAAAAAAGTACATAAACCATAAAACACTATATTAAGTTAAAGAAGTGACAAAAGGTCACATATTACATGATTTCAAAAACATGAAATATCCAGAATAAGTAAATCCATAGAGACAGAAACCAGATCGTTGGTTGCCAAAGTCTGGGAGGGAAGAAGGGGTAATGGAGAACACGTGTTTAATGGATACAGAGTTTTCTTTTGGGGTGAAGAGAATGTTTTGGAACTTTATAAAGTGGTGATCATACAATACTGTGAATGTCAACAGATGATGGTTGATTTATTCATATGTATTTCACCTTAGTAAAAAACTTAAACACTACCTACTCTAATACTTTAAAGTGGATTTTTTCCCTCACAAATAAAATTGCTCATGTTTACCTCTGAGCATGTTAATTATAAATCAAATTACAAACCTAAATTCAATTCCTTCTAGATGACCCTCCCTCCACCGCACTCTAGGATTGAACTCAAGGTCTCTCTTCCACTAGACTACATCCCCCTATACTCCCAACTCTTTTTATTTTGATGCAGAATCTCACTGAATTGCCCCCACTAACCTCAAATTTGTGATCCTTCTACTTCAATTTCTGGAGTAACTGGGAACACAGGTATGTGACACCATGCCTAGCTTAGTTAACACCTTTATTGATCACATATTTAGTATACAGTGGACTTTAAATCAAGTTTGTGCCCATGCAAAAGTGTGCTGATATCAACTGTTTATCTTCTTAAATTTCTGTCCTCCAATTTTTAGTTATCAGTACATGTTTTAAAATACACAATCAAGTTTTTGTCCAGTCCCAATCGTCTAAGTACAGTGACACCCTCTCTACAAATTCCACTTTTCCTGTTTCTTCCTCTATTACAAAATACCCTACACAATTCAGTCTGCCTAGCAGTACAGTTATTTAAGTATGTGTCTATTTCCCCAACTCCTTGAGAAGCTTCAGTCCTTTCTGCATCAATAAAATACTACAAAGTACTTAACAGTATCTTCTACATAGGTGCTTAAATAGTATTAGTGCAGTTGAAAACAAACACGGCCAACACATAACTATTATAAATTATATATTACACTGAAAAAGACATCTAACAAGTACTGATTAAAAAGTACTGATAAGACATGTACTGTACTGCCCAGCAAATTCTTACACCTCACCTTCATGTAAGGTTTTCAATGCAAATCTGGAGAACGATCTATTTACAAAAACGTTAAGTAATTCACCTAATACCCTGAAAGAATAAATAGGGATCACTCTTATCCATCTCCTTTTTGAGTTCGTCTGTGAATGTAATAGGGAAACTAAACTTAATGCACTACAGTATTCCAAACCAGGTCACAGGAGAGCTCTAGTCCCCAGTCGCCTTGTTTCTATTTCCTGATTGGTCTGCCTTGCAAGCATTATGGTGCCCAGCTTTTACAATTTACGAGATCCTTTAAATTATCTTCTAAGGAGAGCTTTTTCGTAAAAACAAAAATAGACTTCCTGAACTTTTTTGAAGAACTAGGAAAAAGCATCGCCCCTTTAAAAAATATTTCCGAAATACTGTGCTCAAGCAAGAAAAGTCTTCAAAAAAGTCCCGTTATAGTTACACTTCGAATTAACTGTGAGCCATAAACTTGCACAACTGGACGTCGAAAGCATTACTCTCCTAACAAAGTAGGCTTAAAAAAACATGTACACGATCTTTAAGTGAATTCTACACTTCATGAATGTGCATCTTTCAATTACAGACTTTAGAACCACCTAGAACCGATGAAAAATCAAATGCGCTTAAGTACTTCTTCACAGAGACGTTTTCTCTGCAGCGCGCTGGCATCGCAGCGACAACTTGGGCAGCGGCCCCGACCCTCGGCCTCCAAACCCCGAGAGTCCACCCACCACCGGCGTCCCAGCGTCAAGTTCCCCACTAGTTCGGTTGCAGTCACCTCCACGTCGCAGCAACCCACACGCCGCCTCGGCGATCTACATCCATCTTCATTCACCACGCACACACAGTCGGGGTTATCAGTCCCCGGACAACCAGGGGATCCAGAAAGGGGCGAGCTGGCCAGAGGGAGGAGCGGACGCTCCTCCGTCCCGCCCGGCCCGGCACCCACCTGCAGGCCGCGAGCCCGGGGGCGGCGGCGCCGGCGCCCCGTCCTCGCCAAAGACGAGTTTGAAGTCGAGCTCGTCGTGGGCGCCACAGTTTGCAGTAGTCATCGGCGTGGTCCGGGGTACTGCAGCTCTTCCTCAAGCGGCGGCGGCGGCGGCTCCTCAGCGCCGCTTCATGCCGGGCCGCGCCGGCCAGGAGGTCGTGGCTCCTCCGCAAACTTTCCGGGCGAGGCCCGCGACGCCGAGGGTTCCGTTCTGTTTCAAACTAAAAAGTTGGCCGAGCCGCACAAGGAGCCGCCACTACCGCCAGCCGCGGGTGCCCAAGCAGCCACCGTCGCCTTAGCCAAGGTTCCTTGCCCCCCCACCCCCCGCCCACAGTCGCCGCCACCAGCGCGCTCCGGCGCCGCGCAGCGCGTCTGACCCCGCCCCCTACCGCGCGCCCATCAGGGCCGGCAGCCCATAGGCCAGTGGCGCCGAGGACAAGCCAGGGGGCCCCGCCCTCTCGCCGGCCTATCGCGTGACTCCCTCTCGGCGAGAAGAAAATCACGTGAACACCGAGAGGCGAAGACCCTTAGTACCTCTCGGGAGTTGTAGGCGGCTGTCTTCACTCCCGCTTCCTGCAGACCCTATGGGTGTACAGCCGACCGACCGCTCATTCCAGTTGGATTGAAGAACCCACCACAGGTCAACTAGGGAAGGTCTCTTTTTGAGTAGATCTCCCGTCGCAAAAGGGACACCGGAAGGCAGGGTTTATGGGCTTGGTGGTGGGCGGCCACGCCGTGTTAATCCGTATGGCCGTCTTTAGAGAATGCACAGGGGCCCCGCGGTGTTACCTGGACACCGCTCACATCCGCGTCCACCCACCCCAACCTCAATGGGAGTCTCCAGAGGACGATGACTGAACTGAGCCAGCAGTTAGTTTGGGGCAGAGCCGAAGAAAGCCCTTGGGTTGCGCGCCCTGTCCTGAGTCGGAACTCCTGGTCACGAGACACCCACCCCGCCTGGGGGTCTACCCCGCTGTCCCCGCTGTCCCGCCCAAGCTACTCTCCTTGAGGACAGAATGAGCATTCTGGGCGTCTGCGGAGACCTAGTCGCAGGATCTGTCCCCAGCTGCAAGCTGAGCAAGCTGAGCAAGCTGAGCCAGAAAGCCCCATGGTCTGGGGGGTTTGTTTGTTTGTTGAGACAGGGTTTCGCTCTATAGTTCAGGCTGGCCTCACACTCATTTCAATCCTCAAACCTTAGCCTCTTGAGTGCTGGGGTTACAGGCATGTGCCATCACCCTGGCAGAAAGCCCCTTGTTAAATTCGCACCAAAGGTCTGTATCCTAATACACAGACACGAAAACAGGAAGGATCAAGCCACCCAAACTGGTGACTGCCAGGGGAAAGTGATATTGCCTGAAGGCCCATTTTCACTCTTGGCCCCTCTCCAGGGTGCCTACCTTCCCTTGAGGACAGCCTTAAGACACCGCCTCTTGGGGTCTGGGGACATTGAACCTGGCATGTTTACTCTGCTCCACCAAGGCATTTGTGTAGCTAGAGACGCTCAGTGACTAGGGAGTCTAGAGATGCTCAGTGACTACCTTCTCCAGCTCCATGCCTCTGGCACAGAGCCCGCAGCACATTACATTCCTAAGTGAGCGTTGCTGGCCAAACTCAGCCATCACACAAGTTTTCATACAAGTGAGAGGCCTCAGAAACGCCACTCCACAAGGCCCACAGCAAATGCCACACCACTCCCAAAAGCCCCTGGGAGAAGGGGATAGCAGGGAGAGTTCCTTACAGAGGTCTCAAGTCATTTCTCAGCTACCAGGAAACTTCACTAGGGGAGCCTAATGAAGTCCTAGGTCAGGAGAAGAAGCAATGTCCTGAGCATGTGAGATGTTCATCTTGGATAGGTTCATTCCTGCCCAGTGCTTTGTGCCTATACCTATGCTGAACCTGGGGGTACAGAAATAAATTAGCTTCCTTTCAGGGGACACTGGAAAGGGAGGAAAGCAAATCTGTAATTACTGTGCAAAGAGATTAGAGCTCTGCCAGGAGCTCTGAAAAGTTTCAAAACTACTCTGGCTAAAGGGCCTCCACAAGGTGGGTAGGAATTGGAGACAGGTAAGAGATGAGGAGGGTTTGTTCTAGACAAAGACTAGATTTCCAAAGCCATGGAGACCAGAAAGTACCTGCAGTAGTTAAACGTGGTCGTTCACACCTGTAATTCCAGCACTCAGGAGGCTGAGGCAGGAGGATCAACAGGAGTTTGAGGCCAGCCTGGGCTACAGTGAGTTCAAGGCTAGCCTGAATTTTGTAGCAAGGTCCTGTCTCGAAAAAAAGTACCTGCAGTGAGCAGAAGCAAAGATAGATGAGGCTGGATGAATGGGCAGAGTGCTCTACTCTACTGTGAGGGCCCTAGTCTTTAGCATGAGGGGATTAGGGACCCATGGAAAGGTTTAGAGTGGGGGACTTGCAGGATGAAAGTAGTCAAGGAGAGGGAGCACATGACTATGGTGAGTGGAAAATCCTCAATAAACTATCCTGTCTTCAGAGGATCTTCAACATTGAGGGCCTGACTGGAGAACTTGCAGCACAAATGCCACACTAGCTCTGCAGCCCTCTGCCTCTGACATGTTGCTGGCCAAATGTTAGTACCACATGTAACACAATCCTGGTATAGTTTAGGGTCCTCAAACCTTGACCAGTTTACTTCCCAATCCCCATAAAACTTAAAGCAACTTCAGGATGTCTCCCTTCCCACTCTTTCATACATACCTCCTAGGTTGTCATTTGAGAAAACAGACCTTTATCCAGGCCATCTTACTTCCAGACATGCCTTCACCTGAAGCAGAGACTCAGCCAGTCAAGCCAGAAGGGAGGCAGTAGTAGATTCTGGGCCTGTTAACACCTCCAACCCCACCCCACTGGGAAGGAACTGCAGAGAATACATCTGTGTTCCCAGGCACCAAGCATGTGGAGAGTACTTAAGAGGGGATCATGTTGTGGGATGGGTTTCTAGTGTCGGGAAAACTGATAATCTGACATGGAATGATGACGGCTGAGACAAGAATGGGTGCTAAATGAGGAAGCAAGTTACCACTTTCTAAGAAACTGAATGCATACATGCTTCTTAGCCTCATTCCAAGGCTCCTGGAGGTCATCAGACAGTTTCCAGCCCTCTCTGAGAGTGTTGTGAAACAGAAACCAGTGCAACTGATAGAACTGCAGGGTGGACAAAGACTGCAGGGGTCCCTGTACTCTCCCTGTTGTGTATGAATACTAGCCAGGCCTGAAAATTAAGAAGTCGTATCTTTTATCAGCTGCCACAGACCCAGCCTTCCCACTCCACTACTGAAAGCCCTACTATATCCTCAGAGCCATGGGATGGTACAGCTTAGCTGACCCCAGCCTCTTGTTTTTGTGACAGGGTCTCACTATGTAGTTCAGGTGGGACTTGAACTCACTTTGTAGCCCAGGCTGGCCTTGAAACAATCCTCCTGCCTCAGCCTTCCGAGTGCTGGGATTACAGATGTGTGCCACCATGCCATGCAGCCTTGTCTCATACTAGGGAACACAGGAGGAACCTGGGAGTTTAGAAAAGTTCTTCCCCTCCATACCTTGCATCTCCTTTGCCTTGAGGTCTTATTTTAGTCTTCTGAGGCTGCTCCCCACCCTATACCAACACTGGCCATAGAGGACACAAGGACTGCCCTTCTGCAGGTCCCAGTCTGGGCCAAGAGGATAAGACCAGCCAACTATAACCTCAGAAAGTTAGTTGCTGAAGTCAGCACAGGTTGCTGAGAAGACAGGTCAGCACTTTGTCCTCTAACATGAGGCCAAGGGGTTTGGACCTGGTCCAGCAAGTAGTCTTAGAGAACCAGGGAAGTTTTAAGCAGAAGCAGCATATGGGAGGCCCAAGAGATTCTCCCTCATTTTTGCACAAATTCTGTCTCTTTGTCTTTTTGAGACAGGGTCTCACTAGGCAATTCAGGCTGGCCTTGAGCTCACTTTGTAGCCCTGGCTGGTCTTAAACTTTCAATGAAGGGTCTCACTAGGCAATTCAGGCTGGCCTTGAGCTCACTTTGTAGCCCTGGCTGGTCTTAAACTTTCAATGATCCTCCTGCCTCAGCCTCCCAAGTGCTGGGATTACAGCCGTGCACCACCACACCCAGCAAATTCAGTCTTCTTTTTGTGCGTTTGGAAGTCCCACTGTCCTATCTAGCCTTACTCACCTGTCCACCTCATGCTCATATCAAAACCATTCATCCCCAAAATGTGATGAGCTATGGGGAGGGCCTCAATCAAGTGGCTGGAATAGATGACTACGTGTGGTGGCTACTAGCCCAGTGGGAGGTTTTGGAGTCTAAGAGGCCTAGTTTAGGGTGGACCTGGTGAGAATGATGGGTGGAGCTTTCAGGATGGACTGGGCCTCTCAGTCAGTCTTAGGTTTTGGACAAGATCACTTTGAGAGCAGTGCAATTAGATATGCTAAAGTGAGGTCATCATTTGAGGGCCTAATATGTACCCAGGATCTTCGTCAGATATCCTAGTCAGCGTGCAGCTCCTCTCCACTTGCCTGCCCTGTGAATGAACCTCTCCCCAGTGCCCTCAGAGCCCCTATACTCCAGTGTGTATATGTGGTTGTGTATGTTGCCTGTTGCTAGGGATCAAACCAGGGTCTCATGCACACTAGGGAAGCACTGTGCCACTCAGCTGTATCTCCAGTTGCTGTCTTTAATGGCAGACTTCAGTCTTTGCTTCTTTCCAATAGCCCAGAAATAAACGTGACCCTGCTAGGGGGAAGGGCTTCCCCAGGAAAATCACACTGTTGGAAGGAGAGGCCTGAGATCAACACCCAGTCCCACCAGGGAGCTGGATCTCAGCATCCAATGCCAAGTCCCCACGGAGTTCTCCCTGGCAAGCCTGGGGTGGGGGAGGGGGTGCCCATGGGGCCTCTCTGCCTGCCCAAATCTAGTCTGCCATGAGGAAAGGTAAAAGGATCATTTTGATTGAGGCCACTTTTAGTACAAAAAAAAAAAAAAAATCAGAAATAAATTGTGCCCAAAGCTTAAAGCTTGGTAGCTGAGACTGGACCAGGACTGTATTCCACATGAGGGAGGCGGGCTTTTCTGGGAGCACCAGTCTAGGAAGTGAGGGCAGTCTTGACATGGGGTGACTCCGCTAACCACTCCATCACAGGGCCAGCCTGTTACCTTCTGCCACCCTCACAGAGCCAGAGGACAGCTGATCTCATTGTCAGAGAAGGGCCCTAGAGGGCAGATAGGGCTAGGAGTGAGTTGCCCAAGGTCAAACTGTAAAGCTGTGGGAGGCAGCTGGGAGTATAATATCCTTATCTGCATGCACCTAGAAGAGCATGTGGGGTGGCTAGGAGGGGCAGCGCCAGGACGAAGACAAAGCCTCATTCACCAAACCTGACCCAGAGACCGGGGCCAGTGGCTGCTGGTGTGACACAGAGGCTTGGCCCCCTGGGGCTGGGTTGCCACAGAACCGTGAGGCTCACCACAGGGAGATGTACAGAAGAGGACCTTGGCCCAGAGGTGACTCCTCCCCACAAACAGCCTGGCAAAGGTACAGACAGGGCGGCATGTTTACAGTGGAGGAAGCAGGGGGTGGGGCGGGACCTTTGGTCAGAATGCCCCTCCCAGTAAGCGGGAGAGGCCCCAAGAGATGTGGTGGTAGCCGTTTGTTTGTTTCTCACTGCCAAGAGGAAATTAAAGAGAATCTGCCACTTCCTTCCGCACCAAGTGGGACTGGGGGAGGGGTGTATACGCTGTGCAGTGCAGTAGCCAAATTGCTGTCATCAGCAGCTTCCAGTGCCCCCTGCCCAGGACAGGTACCTTATCAGGTCTGAGTCCAGCCAGCTGTTAGGCTTAAAAGAAACTCAGGGATCATTTTCCTGTTTTCAAAGCAAACCACCTGAACTCACTGGGATGGTCTCTTAGCAGCGCTCCAGATACCCTAGTCTTTCTCCCAAATTCTGTAGATTTCCATCGAGAAAATCAACTGATGCCCAGGAGCTCAAGTTTCCCATCAGTAGAATGGGTTTTAGGGCATTCCTGGCTCAGCCTAAGTCAAGTGGGCATGAAAGGTAATAGCCCATTCCCCACCTCTACCAAACCCATAGAATGGGTAGGAGACACGCTTAGGGTTTTTTCTTTTTCTTTTCTTTCTTTTGAGACAGGGTCTTGTTATGTAGTTCAGGCTGGACTTGAACTCACTATGTGGCCAGGCTTGCTACAAACTTGCAGCAATTCTCCTGCCTCAGCTTACCGAGTGCTGGGATTACATGATGTGCCACTGTGCCCGGTGGGACATGCTTTGCGAAGCTCCATCTCTGTGCAGAGGGTAGGAGTGGAATAATTATGGCAGGATACAAGTCTATGTTTGAAGATGCCCAAGGCTGAAGCAGTCAGCCATGGGTGAGGTTAAGGGGTGTCTTTATTGCACGGTACCAATGTCAGGTTGACAAGGTGTCACCTGAAAAGCTTCCTGTTTTCAAAAAATACCCAACTCGCTGGACACTCAGACCCACCAGGGAAGAAGGGATCTACCCTGGGGTATTCCTTGGCCTGTGTTTTAGGCTAATGGCCTGGGCCTGGGCCTGTGACTCTTGTCACGCAGGGCCAGTGAATTGTCCAGTAGCAGCTGGTTTATCCTCTGTTACCCAAGACCATAAGGTAGGCCCATGGAGTGAATCACCAGGGCAGGGACAGTAGTAATCACCGGCCTTCCAGGGGGTTCTCTTCACCACTTTCCAAGGCCACAAAGGGCTTCTTGCATAGCTCTCCAGGAAGCTCTGGCTCCTGAACTCTCAGGCCCCCAGGGTCCTGGTCAGGGGTCTCCCGCTTGCGCTTGTGCAAGGAGGGGCTCTCCTCACCCAGCCGACCCTCAGGGAGGCCCTGGCTCCGCAGACAGACGATTGCTGCAGTTTGCTCTGCCAGTTTCTTGGACTTGTCCCTGGGTAGATAAAGCACAGGACAATAACATAGGTGTGCAAGTTGCAGGACTAGAGGCTGGAAGGTGCAACTCTGCATACCCTTGGCAGAGATTCTGACAAAACTGAGTAAGGGTATCATGTGGGGACACCAGTGCCCATGCATACCACCTGCTTAACCCTCTCAGGCCATGATGGATTCAGATCTCCCCACCCCAAACCTCACGTCCTCTGTTGAAGAAACTCACCATAAGGTCGACTGGTACTTTTGCTCTGCAACAGTGACAATAGAGCAGAACAGGCGATCTAGAGGTCGTTGAACCTGGTGCAGAGAGAGAAGGAAATAGGGCTGGCTGCCCTGGAGGCCAACCTGCTGCATCTCATCAAAAGTAGATAAAGGGAAGTACTTCCAACCCAAATCAAATGAAGTCTGCCTGATCACATGTTCCTCCCATGCAAAGTGTCTGGTGCATGAAAAAAAGACAGACACACAAATTGACAATGATATTAAGCGTGTCCGCAGTTCTCTCAAGGGCCTAAGCAAAGGGCTATCACGGCCTTTTGCTATAGATTATGGGGCCTTCTCCTACTGACATTTGGGCATCCCCCCCAAATGAGGAGGAGTGTACCAGATGGCAAAGGGGTGAGAGAGGACAAGGATGGAGACAGAGAAGGTACACACCTGGCAGAGAGACCAGGTGATATGGCTGGAGCAGAGGACTGAGTAGATGAGACCTAAAGTAACGAGGTATGGGGGCGGTGCACCATGCTGGGGGACTTGATCCTACAGCCACAGGGGAGCTGATAGCTTGAATAATGGAGACAGAGGTTCAATTTGTTTTGAAAAAGTCACGCTGGCATCAGGTATGGAGGCACACCCCTGTAATCCCAACACTTGTGAGGCCAAGGCGGGAGGATCATGAGTTTGAGGCCAACCTGGACTACATAGTGAGTTCAAGGCCAGTCTGTACTACACAGTGAGACCTTGTCTGAAAAAACCAAAAAGTTATTGCAGCAGATAGGGACATACGGTCCAGGAGGTACAAGGCTGGAGGCGAGAAGGCCAGTTGGGAAGAGGCAGAGCCTATAAGGATGAAAGGAAATGAAGAAAGACTATCTCAAAGTTTCCAACTCAGGGGCCTCTTGTCTGGACTCCAATTATGTACCCCATGGCTGAGGCTAGATCCAAAGATGTGTTTGCCGGAAATGGACAACAGGCCAAGGGCAGAGGAATGGAGGGCAAGGTGAGATGCCGGCCAAGCAGCCTGCTAAGCATATGCTGGAGGTGTGCTGGGGTGATGGCACCAGCATTGTGGCTGGCTGCAGGTTAGGCCATAGCCAGAACTCACCGTTTCATACACAGGCTGTGCTAACTTCTCTCTCCGGCACCACTCCAGCAAGCACATTTTGGGGGTGATCTGGGGTGGGTATGCTCTCCTGCAGAAAGAAGGGGAAGCAGTAAGGGACCACTCACCATCTCCACTACCTCTGTTAGCAAGGGCCCCCTTCAGTTCCTGATAGGAGCTACAGGAACTGGAGGAACTGACACCAGGCTGCTGCCTTAATGTTCCTGTGCCTATTTTCCTGGGAAATCCTTCCTGTCTTACCAGCAGTTAAGGCCTAAGTTCTACCTGAAGGGAAGATGGGTTTCAGCATGCTTGTATACTAGGTGGGGAGGATCAAGCACTCTGAGCTCCAGCCTATAAAACTATTGTCAGTAGCCAGGAAAAAAGGTCCAGTTTGGCTCTCAAGATCAGAGGGAATGGGTAGAAGTAAGCAACATAGGTGGTCATGCAATGATATCAGAGTCTAGCTCAGTGCATACTCTGATTCTGTTTGCCAGGAGTCAAGATGATCTGCTGCGACCATGGACACAACAGACTCTGGCTTCACAGTCTGTAACAGATGGACAGGGTAGGAAGGACATGTTCCATCTTCCCACTGGGAGCTCCCTCTGGCATGTGACTGGCCAACAGCTGTACTCTCACCCCCACCCCCAAGTCCTTGCCAGTCAAGACTGGCTCCAGGTCTGGGTCTGGGGACTGAAGAAAGGCTCAGATCCAGATGGCAGAGGACAAAGATGGGAGCACCATTCAAAGCTGAGTCACAGTCTGAGACAAGAATCAGCCAGAAGCTACTCCTGCCTGGAAAGGATGCCACAGGGCTGGTGTGGGACAGTGGGTATGGGCAGGGGTACACAGCCAAATGAGAGTGAGCTCCTGCAGCTGTTGGGAGCTCAATGCAGACAGCTAGATCCTCAAGGCCAGGGGAAAACCACAGACTTTCAGGAACAAGAGGGAAGTGCCCCCACCCTAAGAGAAGGAGTGAGTCAGGACAAAGGAGAGTTTAGTCACCCTTGGGACCACACCCTGAACAGTGCTGCCTGGGCTTATTGTCTTCCCTAAAAATACCTTCTTGGGGATGCTGAAAATTGGTAACAAGTATCTAAACCAAGGAGACTTGTGGTCCCTGAATTCACCACCAATCACATATGGGCAGCAAATTTGCTGGCCCAGTCAGATCCTGGCCTGTGCTTAGGCCAAGCTAGAAACCTACCGATCAAACTTGACAGCCATCTTAATGACACCAGAGCTATCTTCAGCTGGCTCCCCCACCTCTTCTGGAGTCCTGGCCAAAAGTTCAGCCCTCCGGGCATCTAACTCCCGTGTGGTCTCCTCGTAGAAGGTACCAAGGCCAAAGGCCTCACTATGGAGAAAGAAGCAGAGCCGGATAGGTACCTTAGTAGAGCAGCATCAGGGGTACTGGAGGAACAAAGGGCCCTAACACTGAGAAACTCCTGGATCGTAAACACCAAAACTCCACTGGGGGTCTGGACAGTGGAAGGTATTGCCCGCCCACCCCAAATCCGAGGTCAATTTGGACTAGAAGCTGGAAAGAGAACATGAACTTCTGAGCATGGACAGAAGAAGGCTGGCTTGGGGAGAAAAAGTTCTACAGGTCACCCCTACCAGCGAGGATGGCCGAACAGGTAGGTGTCCCTGGCCAGGTGCGACTAAGCTGACCAAGTGCCTGGGGTGCACCTCAGCTTATCCTTATGTGGCTCATGTGAGGAAGAGACAGAGGCTTGACCACCAAGTGGTTCCCCACTTTGTACTGGGCCACGAGCAGTTACCACAAGCAGCCTGAACTGAGGTACCACCAGAGCTGCAGACTTACACTCTGTTCTAAAGGTCCAGCTGCTTAAGCTAAACGGGACAGGGACAGACACAATGCCATAACCCAAAGGTGGAAGGAGGATTCCGGCAGGGCTTTTCCCTTCTAGGAGGGATCTTGGAGGCTGGAGGATACCCAAGAAGATGGAGCTCTAAGGATGAGAATGGTAAAGGCTTCTTGGGGAAGGGAGGATACAGACAGCCAGTATGAGGAAGTAGCCCTTCCAAGCAGAGGACCCGTAGGAGCACAGATGTGAAGATAAAGAAGCAGACAGATAGATAGGGAGCTGTGGGAACCAGAACTAGGTTAAGCTATGAAGGACCTCCAGTGTAATCCACCTGAGTTGGAGCTACACCAGATCTAGAGGACCAAGGGGCAGCCTCTCAGTATAATGGGTGCAGGCCCAGGCCAAGGACTCCCTCTTCTGACTACTGGGAGGGCCCTGGTATGTGTGACACTCTCATTAATGGAAAAGCCCCTTCTCAGGAATTGCCAAGCCTATCCTTTACATTCTTCCACCCTACTAGTGCCCTAGTTCCAATTTCTGTTGCTGAAATCAGTCTAGAAATGGAACATTCCAGAGTTTTAAAGGTATTCCCTTCTATGAGGCAAAGTTGTACCATTACCCCACTTCTCCACACCTATGTCCAGAAGCTGTGTCCCTGGGCCCTCAGAAGGTCAGCTTAAGGATCAAAATCAAGCCTGGGAAATGTCTGCAAGGTCAGTTGGACAGTCCATTGCATTTCTTACCAAATTTCCTGGGAAGACTGGGCAGCATGGAGCAACCTTCCCTGGGGCGACTCCAACTGATCTCGTAGCATCTGACACAAACAGTACTTGGTGTTGGTGTAGTGGTTGTCATACTGCACTGCCTAGGAGGAGAACTGGCATGAGCCTATCTGCCGCTAGGCTCCAATGATAGGGAAGGGGCTCCCAGGGGGCATGAGAGGTATGCTTATAGCCAAAGTAATGTGATCCCTTAAGAAGAGCCACCTCCACTTGGCCATCTATCCCCCTACATAGCAGTACCAAGATTAAGGGTCACAGCCAAGGCCCACAGTCCAAAGCACACTTTCCTGGACAACCTGCCTGAGACATACAAGTGGAAGGGACCCCTTCCTGCTTCAGCCTCCACAGCCTACCATGGAGAACCTAGTGCTAAGTATTTTCTGGAACAACGGGGAGCACCAAATTCTGGCACAGCCAGTCCAGTCCCAGGATAAGGGTAAGATTTTTCCAGTTTTTAGAACCTGGGCAGGAACCTTTACTTCCTACACCTTAACTAGCCTCCCTCCAACTTCCCCTATATAGGTAGGGCATAGCCCCCATGTTCACACGTTTCCTGTTTCTGTATCTCAACAAGGAAAAGGTGCAGCAGTTACCCCTTTCCACAGCCTAGGAAGGGAGGCTCATGGAGGCAAGATGACTGTCTAGGGCAGTGATGGTGAATCTTTTCGAGCTTTCAACGATACAAACAGTCCACTGCGGCATGTGTGCCATAGGTTTGCCATAACTGGTCTACATGGACACCAGCCTGGCTGGGATAGAGCAGAAGAGCAACAGCAGGTAAAGACTGCTTGTGTAGTCCTCCAGAATCGCATCCCCTCCCTCGTCCCGAACTGTTCTAGAATCTCTACCTGAGCCTATGTCATCAGTGTCTGGGAAGGTACAGCGGCACACTCGGGACAAAGAGGCCAATAAGTGGGTAAGCCCTGGCTGGCAGCAGGGCTGGGATTCAGCTTGTTTGGGCCAGAAGGCACCTGGTTAGACAAGAAGCAATCCTGTAACACTTAAGGCCACTCCCTTTCTCCGTGACAACACATCCTCTTGAGATCTGCTCATGAAGGTTGAGCAGCAGTGAGAACATCACCTTTCACCCAGTGAGCAGACTCAGCATATACTTGCCAGTTGGCCAGAACTGAAGAGCTGACCTAGGCTGAGGCAAAGCTGACCCAGACTGATGGAGAACCAGTGGTCACCTGCCTGTCCAAGAGGATACCCAGAACAAAAGGAATAAAGACTGAAGGAGAGGCTCTAGGACAGACTGCCTAGCCCTGTCCTAGACAAAACACAGGGTCTTGTACCACCCCCAGCTTAGGCAGCCATGATAATATTCATGCACTATGTAGTCACAACTGCCTGGGCACAGCTATGGCTCAGGGAGGCATAGGTAGTCCCAGGCATGGGTGAGCCTGGGACTGAGGAAAACTGAGTAAGTCTGCTCTGGGTGAGGGCTGCACCCCCTTCTCATGCCCAACTTACTGAAGAATTTGAGGACCACCCACTGTCTCTGCCTGTTGACAGGTGCAACCAATCAAAGTGCCAGAGTCTCAGGGATGTATCAAAGAAACAAGACAGCTGAATGCCTCAAAAATTTGGTTGCAGAAACCAGGCATGGTGACACATGCCTGTAATCCTAGCACTTGGGAGGCTGAGGCAGGAGGATTACTGTGAGTTCAAGGATAGCTTGAACGGCATAATGAAACTCTGTCTCAAAAAGACAAAACAAATAGACAAAAGACAAAAAACCAGAAACAAAAATTCCCCCCAATAAATAAATAAATAAATAAGCCAGGCGTGGTGGCGCACACCTGTAATCCCAGCACTCGGGAAGCTGAGGCAGGAGGATCGTTGTGAGTTTGAGACTAGCCTGGGCTACAAAGTGAGCTCAAGGCCAGTCTGAACTGCATAGCGAGGCCCTGTCTCAAAAAGACCAAAAATAAATAAATAAATAAACAAAAATTCCTTTGCAGGGAAATGTCTCTGGCACTACTATCAAGCTCCCAATGAGCAGAAACTGCTTTACAAAAAGCCAGTCCCAGCAGGTGTGGTGGTTCATGTTTGTAATCTCAGTACTCAGGAGGCCAAGACAGGAAGATTTCTACATGTTTGAGACCATCTAAGGCCAGCCTGAACTACATAGTGAGACCCTAACTTCAAAAAAAAAAAGGAAAAAGCTCTTCCCTATGAAAAGAGTTAAAAGTTAGGCTATTTCCTAATTCACAGCAAAACATTCTGGGAAACAGCAACAGAAAAGTAATTTTGCAGGGAAGGGAAAAGGGAGTTGAGACATGGTCTCACTATATAGTTCAGGCTGGCCTTGAACTCACTGTGTATCCCAGGCTGTCTTAAAACTTGCAGCAATCCTCTTAGCTCAGCTTCCTGAGTCCTAGATTACTGTGTACCACCATACTCAGCGAGCAATAGTGAAGTGAGGGCTGAGGATGGAGCTATCGCACTTGCCTAGCATGCCTGAGGCCCTTGGTTCAGACCCCAGCACAGAGCATAGGCAGTCCCAGGCATGGGAGGAGAGGGGAAGTTTTATATTTTGACAGATGAGGTAAATCAGGTGATACATCTCCATGGAAATAATCTGTCCCTAGAAACAACTACAATGGCTCCTCCTGGCTGAGGCTGCACCTGTGCCAACCCTGAAGCATGCCTGTTTTCAGTGACACAGAACCTCATTGTCCATGTGCAGGGACGTGTGTACACTGGGCTGGGATAGAGAAAGAGAACAATGTGTTTCAGGCTTCAGCAGTACCCTGGATCTGGAAAGTCCTTGCTATCACCTCCACTTTCTTCAAGCTTTAGAAGTGGGTGATGGCAGGGGCACATGAACCAGTGTTTTCATATGGCAGCTGGGGAGACCCAATCCTATACTGAAGAGCTCAAAAGAAAAGGAGAGGGAGCTGGGCATGGTGGCGTACTCCTGTAGTCCCAGTACTTGGGAGGCTGAGGCAAGGGATCGCTACAAATTCGAGGCCAGCCTGGGCTGCATAGCAAGACTCTGTCTCAACAAACAAACAAACAAACAAAAAGAGGAAGAAAAAGAGAGCAGCAACAGGGACTGCTGGCAGTTGGAGGCCCCCACAGGGTGCTTTTTTTCTGTAGGAGCATAGCAGGTAGTAAGAAATGGGGGTTTTTAAAAAGTGCAGAGACGTACATATCTGATGTACTTCTGCATGACCTCTTCCAGGGGACGAAGACCATCCTTGAGGAAGATAGACGGGTTCCACATGGCTGCTCGGGCCAACATCACTGAAGAGGCAGCGGTGGCTTGTCGGAAGTTCTCTATGTCCAAATGTTGCTGGATGTGATCATGAGATCCTCCACTGAAAAGCAACAGGAGGGCTAGGGGTGTTCCCAACACAGAGCCTACTAACAGTGTAGCTTTGGTCAAGTCCCTTCAGCTATCAGAGCCTCAACAAGTGGCAATTATAATGCATTCTTCATTAAGAGCACTAAGTGAGATAATATATGAAAAATAGCCTAGGTCATGCCTGGAACTTAACAGATATTCCAGAAATTTTACTTTCCTTCTCTCACATCTGAAACAATGGTCAAAGCTACTTTTGAAAATGTGGCCCAGGGGCTGGGGATTTAGCTCAGCGGCACAGCGCCTGCCTAGCAAGCGCAAGGTCGTGAGTTCAATTCCCAGTATTGGAAAAAAACCAAAAAACCAACCAAACAAACAAACCAAAAAAAAAGTGGCCTTAAACTAGGATATAGGCGCCAGAGAAAACCCCCATGCTACCCATGTGCTGTCTAAGGATTAGGTCAAATCTCTGAAGGGGAAGGGGACACTGTTAATGATGAGAGGAGGAAAGGAGGCCCAGTTTGGTCATAATTCCTCTCCCCCCTTGCTGCTCCTAGGGCCTTCTCAGAAACATCTCTGTGTTTATCGATTTTATCAGGGGTCAGGTGGCAGCCTCAGTTAAGTGATAGCTGTGTTGTGGGAAGGACCCTCAGGTGACAACAGAAGCAAGGGGCTCCAGGGTCTTGAGTAGCTCTGCCCTCTCCAAACCCCTCTGAAACTTTTTGCCAGGGGATGCAGGCTCTGGCTACCATGTCTACCTTTTTTTTTGTCTTTTTGAGACAGGCTCCCACTATGCAGTTCAGGCTGGTCCTGAACTTACCTTGTAGCCCAGGTTGGTCTTGAACTCGCAACGATCCTCAGCCTCCCGAGTTGCTGGGATTACAGGCGTGCACCACCACGCCTGGCTCCTATGTCTATCCTTAACTCCTCCCTCCTACCAGTCATGCATGTCTTCTGTCAGAGCTTCTCTATGCCAGGCTTTCTAGGCTGAGGCTCTGAGCCGGACACAGAGTAGCCTTGGGCTGCTCATCAGTATCTCACACCTGCAGACCGAAAGCTGTGCAGAATGCTTGTCTGGGTTTCTTTTTCCTTCCTTCCTTCCTTCCTTGCTTTTTCTTGTTTCTTTTATTTATTTATTTTTTTCTTTTTGAGACAGGGTCTCACTATGTAGTTCAGGCTGGCTTGAACTCACTATGTAGTTCAGGCTGGTTTTGACGTCACAGTGATCCTCCTGCCTCAGCCTCCCAAATGCTGGGATTATAGGTATGCACCACCATGCCTGGCAATTATGGTCATTTTTAAATGGTCTCTCATTTCACTTTTTTGTATGCCAGCAAGTCTTTTCTGAACGAGATGGGGCACAAAAAGTAAAGGAGGAGGAAGTGACACTCACTTGGCTATGACGGGAATGGAGAGGGTTTCAGCAATGGCTTTGATGATTTCACAGCTGACAGGGTGCTGAGGCCGCTCCTCACGCTTCCTTGGAGATAAAGAAATGAGATGGGGCTGAGGGCTGACTGCCAAAGGCCATGTCACTGCTCACAAAAGACTACCTTAGCCAAACCTTATAGGCCTCCCTACCGAACCTCAGGCAGCCATATGGACATCAGGGTCAAGTTGCAGGGCATGGCCTTTCTGACCCCTGGGGAAGAGTGCTGTTGTGAGAGACAGGGCAGCATAGACTTGTGCTGAGAAGGCAAGTCCAGCTCTCAGAAGACTGCAGGTGTGGCATGCTCTAGGGGGCCAGTACGGTGGCCTGGCTGGCAAGGTGATGTAGCTTTCCTTGGCATCCCCTTGCCTTTGCCAGAGACGACAGACATTGCCATTTGAATGCTGCCACTACTGCCCCAGTCCTCCCCTCCCCAAGGGGCTGGGAACAGCTGCCGCTGCTCAGGCTGGCCACTCCCACACAGCTGCTTATGCTGAGGCCAAGTTGTACAGCTGATCCTGAAGAGAAGCACTTGACGCAGGACAGGGCTCACTCCCAGAGCAGCCAGGGCAGGTGACAGACAACAAGCCACAGGAGAGGCAGGACACAACCTGGGGCCCCTCCAAGGTCAACTGCAAGAAGCTCTTGTGTATGACCGAGCAAGTCTTAGGCACAGTGAGGACAGGCCTCAGCTGAGCTGTGCTCAGAGACAAGCAGGAAAGGGGACTGACAGGTCTCATCCGAGTGTGTTCCCTTTGCTACATTCCTCGACTCTTCAGAAGGCTCCGCTAACCCAGCTGTACCTCTACTTTCCTATATTCCCAGTTTTAGCCTATTCTCAACAGCTCCGATGAAAGTCCTTCCTTAAACTCACCCAAATTGGACTTCCTAGTACTTCCAGCTTCTGACAAAAGTAACAGCTTTCTTTCTTAAGAAAATACTGTATGTCAGGCAGTGTGCTAAGGCTTTTATTCACAATTTCATACAAGCTTCAGAACAATCCTATTATAATATCTTAATTTCCAAACGAGGAAAGTGCTACTCAGAGAGGTTGACTTTCCCACAGTGCACAGCTAATAGACTGCAGAGCTGGGATTTGAAACCAGACAGCTGGGAGTCCAAAGCCTACTGACTCAGGAAGGAGAATACATGCATAAATGTATGGCTCTACCTTTCTCTCTTGGCTTCAACTTGAGAAGCCTACTTTTCTGTTGGAATTCTGGGTGTCCTCTGAAAATGCTGTGACAGACACAACCAGCAACCTGGGCTGCTCCTATAAGATCCCTCAACCCAAATGGGACATTGGTCAGAGGAGCAAAGTTACCAACTGAAGTATACTGACTAGGATTCTGTACCAAAGCACATCTTGGACACAGGAAGCAGATTTGACTGGGATGCCAAGGGCAGCCTTCAGAAACGCCTGAGCTGCCTGCAGATAGCACATTAGCTACAGACACAAGGACTGTTTAAAGAAGTCTTTGGAACCAATGGTAGTCTAACAAGGGCAGGCAAAAGAGGCAGTGCCTTTCTTTTATTTTTTATTTTCATTTTTTTTTTGTCTTTTTTGAGACAGGGTCTCGCTATGCAGTTCAGGCTGGCCATGAGCTCTCTTTGTAGTCCAGGTTGGTCTCAAACTCACAACAATCCTCCTGCCTCAGCCTCCAAGTACTAGGATTACAGGCATGCGCCTCCACGCCTGGGGAGGCAGTGCCTTTAAAAGGATGGCCATTTTCCTGGGGTCATTCAAGAAGGAAGCCATTGCTCAATAAAATGGAAAGAAAATGAAATTCAGAGCTAGAGTTCTAATTCCACCACTTCCTGGTTGCCTGATACGATTTTGAGCAAATCACTCCATCTCTACCACGTCCACATCCTGTGTGTAGGGTGTTTCTCTCTTCTCTTATGTCTCTACAGGTCAGAGTAAGCCAAGGGTGGTGACACATGCCTTTATTCCTAGCACTCAGAAAGCTGAGGCAAGAGAATTGCTGTAAGTTCGAGACCAGCCTGGGCTACACAATGAGTTCAAGGCTGGCCTGAACTACACAGTAAGACCCTGTTTCAAAATAAAACAAAACACCAAAAACTTAAAAAAAAATAAAGCTCAGAGCAGGCCTAGCACAAGAGGTGCTCCATGAATGACACAGAAAATACAAGCCTATTTAGTACCCCTTCAACTCACAGGATGTCAAAGAGCTAGCTAGGAAGGCATAGGCTAAATACATGGGAGAGAAGTTGGTTGTCATATGTGGTCTGGTGAGGATCAATGGCTGAGGAATCTCTCCAGTCAGTCACTAGAAAAGTGATCACTCACCTTCCATGAACTGCAATGGCAGCAATGCCAGTCCTCTCTATCCGCTTTACAAGGCTCAGGGTATCTTCTAGCTGAGGAAGAAGATTTACAGTGTGGTTACTCAGGTCCCAGGGGAGCAGCTGCCAGCTCCTTCATGTGGGCTCAGCTTCACCCCTCCACCAAACCTAATTCAGTGCCTTATGAATTATTCACACCCCCAAGTGCAACATAGCCAGAGAGGACCGACCTTCAAATGTAACACCCCATCCTTACCGACGGCAGGATGCGAATCTTGCAGGTCACAGGTCTGCATGTCCCTCTGACAAGCGTGCTAAGGATCTGTAAAGAGAAGCACACAGGAGCACCTACCGGTTCTACCACACTACTTGTACTAATTAACTCTGCTATAGACCTGTGCATTCCAGTGGAATGGACAATTTGTTCATGCACAAGTACATACAGGTATCTGGTATGTGTGGGTATGTATACACTACATGAGGCAAGGAGTCTGCCTCAGTTCTATGTTAGAGATCCAGCACCAGTGGTTCCCTGTCTGGCACCCAGTGAGATAGATAGATAGATAGATGATAGATCTCTCTCTCTCTCTCTCTCTCTCACACACATACACACACACACACACACAAAGAATGAGTGAATGGATCTGTATATATTCCTGTGTGGAAAGAGTGATCCTTTGCCAGAGCAAACATCAGAGTTACCTGGAAAGCTTAAGAAACACAGACTTGAGCCAGGGATGTAGCACAGTGGCACAGGGCCTGCCTGGCAAGTGTGAGGCCCTGAGTTTGATTCCCAGTACTCTCCGATTCTATCCTTTTATTTCCTAAATGAGTCTGTAGGGGCAAGGGCTTAGAAGTATGTATTTCCAAAAAGCTCTGCCCAACACACTCCATCCTCACTGAGACTCTGAGATCTACCCCTGATTAAAACACATGACTGACAGCTGCTTTCCTGGTAAAAGAAAGGGAATGTTCCCTGAGTGCAGTCCTAGGGCCTGCAGAGTGAGGAAGCAGGAAGGTGTTTCAGGGCCTGAGCTCTGTATTCATGTACCCTTCTCTGTAGGGCAGTCAGATATACATGGGTGATACTGGTAAAGCAAAAGACAACATATTCAGCAGGGTGTGGTGGCACATGCCTGTAATGTAGTCTCAGCTATGTGAGAGACTAATGCAGAAGGACTGCAAGTTTGAGGTCAACCTGGGCAACAGTGAAACCCTATCTCAAAATAAAATGAAAAAGGGCTGGGGATGTAGTTCCATGGTACAGCACTTGCCTAACATGCACAAAGCCCTGGATTCAATCCCCAGTACTGCCAAAAGAAATTTTCTTTTCAACAAAGTATAAAGTGCTTATTCCATAGTAATTGAAAAGTATTTCAAAGAAAGATCAAGAAGTTTTATAGGAAAGTGTTAGGAAGGTGGTAAGATCAGACCACAGAAGAATCAGTGATCAAGAGAGATATATAAGTAAGGAGTATCGGCACATGCCTGTTATCCCAGTTATTTGGGAGGCTGAGGCAAGAGGATCAAAAGTTTGACGCCAGTCTGGGCAACTTAGTGAGATCCTGTCTCACAATAAAAATAATAAATAGATAGATAGATAGATAGATAGATAGATAGGGGCTGGGGATGTAGCTCAGTGGTAGAGCATGCCTGGGCCCAATTTCCAGTACAGTGAAAGACAGGGCCGGGGCATATGACACTGCATGCCTATGCCATTGCTATTGTCTTCTCACATCAAAAGCTTCATGCCAGGCAAGGTGATCTCCAGAGCCCTCTTCTAAAGACTGGACTTTTGTCTGGCACAGCAAAGGGGATACTCAGGCAGCTGTCACCGATTCTGAGTCTAGGCAGGCAGAAGCATCAGAGAGCCATTTGCCAGAACCAGTAAGAGGAGACCTTTCTTTCAGGTACAGGTGGACAGTTCATGAGCAAGACAGAGCTTTCTCTACCAGGCACAACTGGTATCCAAGTGCTGCCTCAGAAAACCAACTCGGCCTGAAGTCCTATGGTCATCCTAACAAGCCTTAAAGGGGCACTTAACTTTTAAGGGGGAACTGCCAGGTCCTCTAGGACACACCATAAAAATTCTCTCAGCTGGGTATGACGGCACATGTCTATAATCTCAGCACCATGGGAGGCTAAGGCAGGAGAATCAGCAGTTTGAGTACAACCCAGGCAACTCAAGAACTAAGTGAGACCTTGTCGCAACATAAAAATAAAATTAAATTAAAATTGAAAGGGCCAGGGGCCGGGCATGGTGGCATACACCTCTAAACCTTTGGGAGGCTGAGGCAGGAGAATCACTGTGAGTTTGAGGCCAGCCTGGGCTACAACGTGAGTTCAAGGCCAGCCTGAACTGCATAGTGAAACAATGCCTCAAAAAGACATAAATAAATAAATGAATGGGCCAGGATGTAGCTCAGTGTATAGATCCTGTGTTCAATTTCCAGGACTTAAAAAAAAAAAATCTCACTCACTCAGTCTACTCTTCAGGCTCACAGCAACATAGCTCAAAGTTTCCCGTATAAGTTCTCACTTGTTTTTTTTTGCGGGGGCAGGCAGGGAGGGAGGGGGAATGGTACCAGGAATTGAACTCAGGACCTCACGCTTGCCAGACAGGCACTGTGCCACTAAGCTGTAACACCGGCCAAGTGCTCACTTGGCATCTACTGATATTTGGTGATTTATGATATTCCAGCTGATCTGATCCAATATTCTATCTGGTGGAATTTCCCTTTGGCCAATTCTATCCAAGCATCTCTAACTACTTTCTTCAGTACTTCTGTTTATTTCATGTCACATTAAGGCCCAGGAAGGAAATTGGAAAACCAAAGGCCCTAGCCAGTTCTGAGGACCACACGAAGGAGACAGGGTTGACTGACTCCCTGACTCCCCTGTCCACCATTTTCTACTCCAAAGGTATAGAAAATTCTCAAGTGTCCCCCACTACCTTTTTTTTTTTTGAGACAGGGTCTCGCTATGTAGTGCAGGCTGGCCTTGAACTCACTCATGCAGCGCAGGCTGGCCTCAAACTCACAGCAATCCTCCTGCCTCAGCCTCTCAAGCACTGGGATTACAGGCATGAGCCACCACATCCACCCTGCCCCTTTTAAAAGCTGGATCTCAAACTTATGGGGCTAAACAAGCATCCTTCCTGCCTTAGCCTCCTAAGCATGTGCCACCATGTCTGGCTGTTATCTTTTTTGATCAAGACTAATAAACGAAAGCACAGAGAGATAAAAATAATCTATGGCATAAAACTTTCCATCTTGAACTTTTCTTGTCTTAAACATATATTTATGGATTGTCCAAAGGCAATTACAGTATTTCAGTATTCCTCAGATCCCTGGGAATTTTAAACGATCCAAGCAGTTTGTGAAGATCAAATTTTCAAAATCTTCACCAAAGACATCCTTAAGTCACCCTCGCATTCCTACAGGGCTCCATTTTACACATTTTTTTCTTGCTGGAATGGTGGCTTATGCCTGTAATCTTAGCACTTTGGGAGGCTGTGGCAGGATGCAAATTTGAATTTAGCCTAACTTAGTCGCTTAGCATGAACCTGCTCCAAAATAAAAAATAAAACAGGGGTTGAGGATGTATGAAGTGTCTTGCTTCAATCCCCACCCTGCAAGAAAAAAAAAGGGATGGTGTTAGGGATGAAACCCAGGGCTTTTGGGTGCTAGGCATGCAACCTATCACTGAACTACATCCACAGCCCTTTTTAGTTCTTTATTTTGAGACAGGGTCATGCCAGGTTGCCCAGACTGATCCTCCCGCCTGGGATTTGAGCCTCCTGAGTGGCTGGGATTACTGCTATTTGCCACTGTGCACCACTTGGACGTTTTTAAGTGCATAATTCAGTAACATTACATTCACAATGTTGTGCAACCATCATCACTATATATTTCCAAAGTTTTTCATGATCTCACACAAGTATCTTTAGTTTCAGAAAATTTCTGCAGACGGCCCTGAGACACACTCTTATGATAGAACCAGAGAAGCCTAAAACATCATGTCTACAGAACCCATCAAGCTCCTGCCCAGTTTTTCAGTTTTTCAGCACAGACTACGTTTAAACTGAATGTCACATCTGGCTTTACTGTGAAAGCCTACAACCCTGCAACTTCCCCTCCAAGAGGTGAACCCCAATTACTAGTCCGAATTGGCCCATGTGACCGCCCCCACCAGATAAGCAGCAGAACAAACTAAGCTTCTGAGGTGGAGTGCATCTCTGCTACCTCATGGGTGAACACGCGTCATTCAAAGAGGAGCGATGGAGATGACAGAGCCAACGGCATTAGGCTGGAGGATACTGAAAATACCTGCATGCTTACGTTGTAAACCACAACTGCCCTGCTGGGAGACCCTCTTTTACACGTGGTGACCATTCTGAGTTCCACTCCATGCTGCACAGGTCTGTCTAACTGGAAGTCTAGGTGCCTCCTAAACTGTGGCTAGACACCTAATCCCAGGACCTTTAAGATGTCATTGAGAAGGGGAATTGATGCTGGGTTAGGAGTCACAAGACTATGGCTCTGAAGCTGGCTCTGTCTGCCAGTTATTTGCAACTTGATCTTGTGCAAATTATTTTTATCTCTGTGTGCTTTCATTTATTAGTCTTGATCAAAGGATAACAGGCAAACTTGGTGGTACATATTTGGGAGGCTAAAGCAGGAGGGAGGCTCCCTTAAACCCATGAGTTTGAGATCACTTTGGACAAACATAGTGAAACACTATCTTAAAAAAAAGAGATAACAAATTTCTTCCCTGTCTACTTCTAATGTACTTAGAAAAGGAAACTCTCCTACCCTACAAATGGTAAGAATATATTACAAGCACATTAGAAGGACTTCTATCTGTTGCTACATATGGCGTTAAAGAATGAGCAGGCACCCAGCCAGAACACTATGGTCCTTCTATGTTCCAGAGAGAGCTGGAAAGAATATTGAATTCAACTGCAACAGCCAGAGCAAACTATGGGAGCTTTTACTGTGTTTGAGTCCCAAGTCACTGTAGCCTGTGGGTAGCACTTTGAGGCTCAAAGTCCAGACAGGGAAGTGAAAATGAAGAATGGAAAGAAAAACGAAAGAGCAAAGAGGGGCAATAAGCTGAGGGCTGGTGGACTGTAAAAGGTGTATATAGTATGGCAGAAATGTCATCCCCTTATGCCCTGGCAGCCTATAGAACTGGCTAGCAAGGTCAGGGCCTTATTAAGCCTATCTACAAAATCAGCAAAGGAGAGGGAGCAAATGAAGATTAAGTTCAGTTTGTCACATATGATCCTGCCCTGGCTTGCTCTTAAAAGGCTGTGGTAGGTTCTTTGAGTGCATAGGGGAGCCCCTGTTGCTTAAATCCAGCCCCTTGGGAGAGGACCACCCACTTCTATATACATAGACACTAAGCCTGTCCTCATACAGATGGGCTAGACTGTACTCTCATGATCTCCCAGAAGGAGAGCCAGTATAAAGGAACCTATAGCCAAGTCTTCAGGCCCTCTTAGTCAGCTGAGAGTCTCCAGCTCCAGGCTTTTATGGAACTCAAGCCTGCTGCAGGCTGGCTCCGGCCTAGCTGCATGTCAAAAGCACAGAGTTTTACACACTTTTTGCAGGCTACAAGTGGAGAGGCTAGATGCACTTTGGTGAATCTGGAACAGACAGGGGAAGGCATTCCAGGCAACTCTAGTTCACAGTCATGCTTGAGGATGCTGTTTTTGCTCATGCAGGACTTACCTTCTCAATCTTGTCAGGGTCTGACAGCAAAGCAGCTCCCATTCCTCCCTAAGGAGAAGCACACAGAAGGTCTTCTTATAGCTGGGGAAGGAGGGCCCCTCTCTGTAGTGTGACAACATGGTATGGCAAACCGGTAGTCAAGGTTTACTGGCAATGGCATTTCTCCTAACCAAGTAGTAATGCAGCAGCATCCAAGCCCCCATAATCAGGGATTGGAGTTGGATGAATCCTAAAAGTCATCATTCTCATCCCCCTGGCAAAACCCATGGGACTATGTAGAAGTGGATTCTACAAAATTCCCATGCCATACTCAGTGTCTTAATAAACTAAACTCTACCACCTTCAACGCCTTTTAAACACACCTCCCTGGGGCTGGGGGTTTAGCTCAGCGGCAAAAGCGCCTGCCTGGCAAGCGCAAGGTCGTGAGTTCGGCTCCCGGTACCGGAGAAAAACCAAAAAAACCAAAAAAAAAGGAAAAAAAAAAAATAAACACACCTCCCTTTACAAAGAGATTAAATATACCTTTTACCCTCACCTCCAACTCTTGGTACCTATGCCACTAACAAAGTCTCTCAGAGGCACAAACCCTGTAGAGGCCTTTCTCTGCCAGCCACAATGTGCCAGTCCCGAAGAACTGGCTTCATGCCAAACTCTAACAAAAGCCTCTACAAATAGAAAACACCAGTTCATGAAGCTACTTCAATCTCCACAATAACAACAGTGATTGTCTCTCGATGATGGGGTATTCACCAATAATTTTCTTGCTTTTAAAAATAATTTTCTACATTTCTCAAGTTCTAGACAAGTTCTACATTGCTTTAATAATGGGGAGGGGAGCTAGCTTTAAAAATATGAATCTATTAGCCAGGCTCTGTGGTAAATGCCTGCAATCTCAGCTACTCAAGAGGCTGAGGCAGGAGGACTACAAATTCAAGTCCAGCCTGGGCAACTTAGCAAGATCTTGTCTCAAAATAAAAAAGGGTGGAGGATGTAGCTCAGTGGTAGAGTGCTTGTCTAGCATGCGTGTAAGGAACTGGGTTGGATGCACAACACTGAACAAAACAAAACAATGAAGTAAAGGGGAGAAAACAAACAAAAGCTCAGAGACCAAGCATAATACCACATACCTGTAATCCCAGCACTAAGGGGGCTGAGGCAGGAGGATTGTTGAGTGCAAGGCCAGCCTGGGTTACATAGTGAGTTCAAGACCAACCTAATCTATATAGTGAGAACCTGTCTTGAAAAAAGACTATGAAGAATGAGGAATCCTCCTCCTTGAGGAATGGAAGAATTTTCAATCTACATTTTTAATTTGGCTTCAGTTTTTGAACCATAACACAGAAGATATTTGGTTGGTACATACCATTATAGCATACGAGTTCTGATGAGCTGATATCAGGTATGTGCCAGCTGTTAGTTTGAATAGCACTACTGCAGTGGGAATTTATTACCTATTGTGAAATCAAATAAAAACGGGCTTCCTTCCCCAGAAGGAACCCATGTCCCTAGTTTCTTGTGTGTCTTCCTTAGTATATTCTGTGATCCCAGAGGCAGAGCGGCTGCCATCGCCTAGATCATTGTGATGGGCACACATGTGGTGGGTAGAGCCTTTGCTCAAGCCCTGTGTCAGGATTTGCAGTGAGCCAGGCAGCAGCTAATGCTCGGGGATGTGTGGGACACCAGTCTTGTTATGGTTTGTATCTAGATGTCCCCCCAAAACCTTGTGCACTTTTAGGTGGGGCTTTTTTGGAGACAGCTGAATCTAGAATATGTGACTGATTCATGGTTCAGTGCTAGGATTAAGGGTGCTGGGATTAAGGATGGGTGATTGCTGGTTCAGTCCACTGATTGGATTTGTACCCGTCTGGATAAGATAAAGGGATAGAAAGAGGCTTGTCTCTCTCTTGTTGCTTTTGCGGTCTTCCATCACCATGAACTGTTACCCCTCTACCATGTGCCACCCTGCCTTGGAGCCAACTGATTATGGACTGAAACCTCTACAAACTGAGCTAAATAAACCTTTCTTCCCTGAACTTTGGGTATCTGGTATTTTGTCTCAGCAGTGACAGAAAAGTCTAAGACAAGTCTGTCGCTGCACCCAACCTCTCCAGCCTCAGCCTCCAGGAGGACCAGCAGATTCTCAGTATCTGCAAGGTGAGTGCAGAGATTGAGAACTATGAACACCTATTTAAGGTGAATGGGGCTGGGGATACAGCTTAGGGCTGGGGATATAGCTCAGCGGCACAGCACCTGCCGGGCAAGTGTGAGGTCATGAGTTCAATTCCTGGTACCAAAAAAAAAAAAAAAAGATAAATGATAAATCCGTGGTGGCTCCTTCTACTTGCAGTCAAAGGTCGTCCACAAAGGAGAACCTGGGTGAGGAACTCAGAATCCAGGCCCAGGAAGAGAGAAAGGGCAGATGCCTAAAATGTTCACCTCTCCCAATCCCACCCTGCTGCCTCTTAATTTATAGCTTGATAATAAATGTCTTTTATAAGTCAATCAATCAATCAATAAATGAAATGTGTGAATAATACATATATATAAATGTTATTCTCTATTTTCTATATACAAATGGTAGTATACTATATATATGTCATGTTCTTTTCACTCCACAATGTGTTAGGGAGATCATTCCTTTGTGGGTTGTTTTGTTTTTTTCTGATTTTGTTTTTTGCAGTCCTGGGGATTGCAGTCCAGGACCTTTGCACTGAGCTATATCCCAAACCCTGTGTTCTATTTTTCATTTTGAGACAGTATCTTGCTAAGTTGATAAGTTGCCCTGGCTCCTGCCTCAGCCCCCACCCCCGAGTGCGGGATTACAGGTGTGTGCCACAATGCCCAGCTTGGTTTTCAAGCATCCATCAGGCCTTCCCTCAGGCAAGCAGGCAGTCTGCAGCCTCCGGACCTAAAGCTTAAGTCCCCAGGCTGGGTAACTCCTGAGAGCACAGTAGCTGACTCTGGATGACAGGTCTGGGAGACATCTGCTGTGTCTACACTGCAGACCTTCCACTCACCTTGTCATCAGTATCCCAGGAGCATAGCTGAAAGAGTCCCTCCTAGTGACTCACACTCAGCAGCCTCAAGCTGCCCTGTGATCTGCTCTAAACATGTCCTTCAGCAGTCCTGCTCACCGCTGAAGACCAACTGTCTTCCTGGCTGCCAGTCTTTCCTCCCTGTACACACATTGTATTTCCTGCCTCTGCCTCTTACCCCCAGTGTGATCCTTTGCCAGCCAACTCCTGTCCAATTTACTCCACTTTGGCTTCTTGTTCTATCCCTAGTTTCTGCTGTGGACCCAGGACTCATCTCCCATTATCTATGTTTGCACCTTAGCCTCCTGCCATTCTAATCCACAAAACATATGGATTCCAGATTAGTATTTCTTTCTTTTATTTTTTAGTTTTTTAAGATAAGTTCTTGCTACGTAGTTCAGGCTGGCCTTGAACTCACTATGTAGCCCAGACTGGCCTTAAACTTGTGGCAATTCTCCTGCCTCAGCCTCCAGAGAACTGGGATTATGGGTATGTGCTACCACGTCTGGCCAGATTAGAATTCTAAAGCACAGTGTGGTCACGTGGCTGCTCTACACAGAAAAAGCCAAAGATACTTAAAGTCCAAGTCCAGCTGACCTGATCCCAACCAAGGTTTTCACTCTTGTGGTCCTTTGCTTTTTCTTTGTCTCCCACTCCCCCGCACTGTATCCAAATCGAGCTACCTGCAGTTCTGTTCCAACCTTATGTAGGCCAACAGTCATCCCTACCTGTGTCACTCCCTCTGCTTGCAGGGTCCCAGATCTCCTCTCATATTTTCCTATAAAATCCCAAATTTAAGGACTGCCTTCCACTTCCTTCTTCTCTGGGCTATCATAACATTCTAGTCTGATCTGTTCTGACATGACCACGGGACAGGGATAATTGCACTGTATCTTCTTCTTCTTCTTTTTTTTTTTGTTCTTTTCTTTGAGACAGGAGCTCACTATGCAATTCAGGCTGGCCTTGAGCTCACTGTGTAGCCCAGGCTGGCCTTGAACTTGCAACAATCCTCCTGCCTCAGCCTCCTGAGTGCTGAGATTATAGGTGTATGCCAGCATGCCTGGCTTCCATTTTTTAAACGTGTCTATTCCATACATGAAAAGACAAAATTCTGTTCCTGTTTTTTTTTTTTTTTTTTTTTTTTTGGTTTTGGATTTTCTCCTGTACCGGGAACCGAACTCACGACCTGCGCTTGCCAGGCAGGCACTTTGCTGCTGAGCTAAATCCCCAGCCCCTGTTCCTGTTATTTTTTTCATCATTTGTTTTCTTCCTTGGGTATGACAGCACTCTCTATCTCCCTCTTTCTATGTGTATGTATGTATGTGTGAGTGTATGTATCTAGGTATATAAAATTTTTCTGGACTCTGGGTGTAGTAGAGTAGTTACCAATCTGGGGGTAGTTACCTTTGCCTAGCATGCAGAAGAAATCCCTGAGTTTGATTCCCAGCAATGCCAAAATTTTTTTTTTTTCATAAACCATTTGAAGGTAAATTACTTGTATCATATCTTTTACCCCAAAATATTTCAGTGTATATTTTCTGAGGGTAGGCACATTCTCTTATATAAGCACAGAAAAGCTATCACCCGCATAAGTTCAGTTTGATATTATATCTTTAGCTGATCTATTCTGGTCCCTATTCTGATTTTGTTCACTGATCTAATAATACCTCCCCCCCTTTAAAAATATCCTTTTCAGCAGTTTTCCCCATCTAGCACAGGATTTAGTCCAGAGTCAGGTACTGTTCTTAGCTTCTGCATCTTATTAGCTTCCTTTAATCTTTATTGTATCTTTGTAAAGAATACAAGGAAATCAGTTTACCTTGGTGGAATATTCTTTTGGACAGCCCATGTTGACATCAATACCAGCTACATCATTTTCTCTGGAAAAACATGAAGGAAAAAAAGGTAAGAAATATTCAATTTGACAGAAGACAGTAGAACAAAGGCATCAATGGGTCAGTACTCATGAGCCTCTCATTGTGTCCTTAGGTCTATGAAACACACCAACCCCTCAATGATAAAAGTTGAAAATCAGGAAAGAAGTCTGTCCCTAAAATGTACAGCTGCCTCACCTCAGTGCTCCAGAGGAGAGATATAATGTGCACATACATCTCAAAAGAGCTGGATGCAGAGAACTTTGCTGCACTGATATTGTATGGAGATGCTGAATGCTATCCTTGAGCTGTAGTTCTCACTGGGCTAGTGAAAATCATTTGTCAATGCAGAAAAGTGACATGTGGAGAAAAGCCCCTTTCAGAGCACTTGGAAGAAGGTTTAGGACTGCCTTCATTTGCTGGGCTGCACAGTTGGTTTATGCGAAACAAATCTCAGAGGGACAGGCATGGTGGTGCACGCCTGTAATCCCAGCACTCGGGAGGCTGAGGCAGGAGGATCACTGTGAGTTCAAGACCAGCCTGGGGTACAAAGTGAGCTCAAGGCTAACCTGAACTGCAGAGCAAGACCCTGTCTCAAAAAGACAAAAACAATAAACAAAACAAATCTCAGAGGTTAAAGGGACCGTCATGTCATCCTCTGCTTTTTACAAAGTTAAGTCTGTGATCAACAGCAATTACTGACTGAGTTCCTTCTTATCTGCACTGTCATTAGTAACAGGAGCTAACATTAAGTACTGATGATGTAGCACAATGCTGCACATATTCACATGCACTATTTGATTTACCCTTCTCTACCATGCCAGAGGTTGGTAGTACTATTGGTATCACTTTATAGATAAGAGAACTAAGTTCTCTGTGAAGTTTAATAACTTACCTAAGGTCACACAGTTCACAAGCAGTAAAACCAGAGCACCAACCCAGATGTACCTTAACTCCAAAGCCTATCACCTTAATAATGACACTCTTTTTCTGGCTTTGTTAACTCAGGAAACACATCTCATTCACACTTCGTAGGAGTTAAAGCCTCAGGGCTCTCAGGAGAGTCCCTGGAATGGCCCCCACCAGAAGGACGGGCATCTGGGCACAGTAGGTACACATGAGTCCAGGGCCAGCCTTCTGATGCCACAAACACAGAAGGAAAGCACTTTTCACCTGAAAACAAAAGGTAATGGGCCAGGAGGAAGAAAGCCAGTTTACTTCCAAGGTCGTTAGTGACGTTAAAGCCTCACAGCTCACAGGAGAGAGAAACGATGCTCCAAGGAGGGAGAAACTTACACAAGCCTGGCCACAGCAAGGGCTCGCTCTGCATCTGAAGTCCCCTGGAAACACAAGAGCCTTTATCAACCACTGCTGGACACGGGTACATGTATATACACAAACACATTCCTGTGTATCTCACATACACACTCACACCAACAGGTGAGTAAGGCCAGCTTTCTCTTAGCCACCCCAACAGACTAGCACACTGCCAAAGGAAAAAGGCGGGCCTAGAGAGCCTACACAATGCTGTCAATGCTGTGGTTACCTTCTTTTTTTATTTTATTTTTTTTGCCTTTTTGAGACAGGGTCTCATTATGCAGTTCAGACTGGCCTTGAGCTCACTTTGTAGCCCAGGCTGGCCTCAAACTTGCAACAATCCTCCTGCCTCAGCCGCCCGAGTGCTGGGATTACAAGGGTGCGCCACCATGTCCAGCTTGCGGTTACTTTCAAACACACAAAAATTGTGAACAAAATTTTATATCAAACATTCAAATACCACCACTTCGTTTCTACAATTAAGATTTTGCTGTATGTGCTTTATTACATATTTACTCACTGTCATTAATTTTTCTTTTTTTTTTTTGTACCGGGAATCGAACTCAGGACCTTGCGCTTGCCAGGTAGGCGCTTATGCCACTGAGCTATATCCCTGGCCCTGTCACCAATTTTTCAAAAAACCTAAACATCTTCAGGAGCTATTTCTGAAAAAGCACCAAGTAATATTCAAGAGAGGAGAGCTAAAGAGTCTTTATAACTTCAACATATTTTAGGTACTCTTCAGAAAGTCTAATTTCTTTTTAAGTACTAAGTATTGAACCCAGGACTCTGTGCAAACTAGGCAAGGCCTCTATCATACAGCTATACCCTCAGACCCCCTTCTTTTTTTTGAGATGGAGTTGCTACATTGTCCAGGGCGGTCTCAAACTCAGGAGCTGCAGTGATCCTCCTGCCTTACCCCTCTGAGTAGCTGAACCATAAGCATGTGCCATTGTGCCCAGCTTGAGAAAAATCTAATTTCTGATGGGAAATATGTTCCAGCACACATGTCATGACCTAAATAATCAATACTAAGGTTGAAAAACTAAATATGGAAGTCAGGCGAAACAGATAACTCTTATAATTAAGTAAATTAAATCTGAGACCAGAGTCATTTAACAGACTGTGTCTTGGTTTCCATAAGCTGTTTCCAGTAGAGTGAGCACTCGTGAATGAATCTTTGAAAAATGTTCAAGCCAAGTTTCCAGAAAGCTACCACAGTGCAGTGCAGACCAGGCACCCAGTGCTGTCTGGCACAGGGGGGTGGAGAGCCTCTGCAAGGCACTGAACACCGGAGTCTCTTACCATCTGGAAGACCACCCTGTTCTGTTCTTTTTCACAGGTACGGAAGACTACTCGATCATCAGGGGCAACAAAGTCCACTGTGCTGAGCACCTCTGCAAGAAAATACAAACAGATGGACCACACAATTCTCAACCTCACCTAAACTCTGGAAACACAGTAAAACCATAACCTTGAAAGGAACAAAGGGGTTAGACATGTATACCATTCTTAAAAGCATTCTTAAAAGTATGCAAATGGGAGGCTTTTCAGGTGCTAAGGGTGTTCTATCTCCTGACCTGAATGATGGCTGTTCCTTTTACAATTATTTGCTACTCTGCATGTTTGTGCACTTCTGAATGGCTGTTAACATTTTACAATTTTTAAAATGCTGAATTGCCTTTGTAGTGTTGCATACTTGAAATCTCAGCACTCTGAGAGGCTGAGGCAGGAGGATTACAAGTTTGAACCTATTATAGGCACTTGTGCAACTTAGCAAAAGGGCTGGGGATGTAGTTCATACAAAGTCCTGGGTTCAATTCCCAGTTCCTAAACAAGTAAATAAATAAATACATAAATAAATAAATTTAGTCCAAGTACTGCAAAAAAAACCCCAAACCTAACAACAACAAAAACTGGAAAAAATATACATATATGAAACTTCGTGTTGCAATTTTGATCCAAATTATCCCAGATGGCACTCTGAGGTTTAGTACCTCATTTCTAATTATTTATAGTATGCCAAGTACTTGGAATAGAAGTTTACTACATTTCAATCAAGTTTTACTATTTTAGTCACTGCTGCATATATGGAAATTCAACTATTCATTAAAATGTATTTATAACTCCTAAGTCAATACTTGTGGTTTTTAAAGTCATTTACGGACAGGCACAAAAGTGGCTTGAAATTAGAGTCACCTTATGTCCACATTTCCAGCTGAAGTCAAACAAGGTGATGCTCCTTTTGTTTCAGCTCTCATACTGTATAGTATAAAAAGCACATACTGTGTGTTTTTTGCTCATCTTGCTGTGTAAAATAACTCCAAGAAGCCAAGCATGGTGCACATGTCTATAATCCTAGCAGTCTGAGAGGCCTCAGGCAGGAGTATTATAAATTCAAGCTCAGCCTTGGTGACATGGTGATGTAGCAAGACCCTGTCTCAAATTTTTAAAAAAAATTTAAAAGGGCTTGGGATGTAGGTCAGTGCAAAAGACTGGGTTTAATCCCTAATACTGGAAAAATAAGTAAATAAATAAAACAAAATAAAATGGTTCCAAGAAGAGTACTGAAGCACTGTCCTGTGCTCCTAAACACAAGAAAGCTGTGATTAGCTTTACAGGCAAAATATTTGAATTAGATAAACTTTGCTTAAGCATGAGATTATAGTGCTATTGGCAATGAGTTCAATGTTTTTTTTTTTTTTTTTGGTTTTTGGTTTTTTTTTCTGGTACCAGGAATCGAACTCACAACCTCGCACTTGCCAGGCAGGCACTGTGCCGCTGAGCTAAATCCCCAGCTCCTTCAATGTTAATAAATTAATGGTATACATTAAATAATTCATCTAGAACATATGATTGGCCCTGGGCTTAATTCCCACCACCAAAATAAATAAGTACCATGTCTTGGAGCAAAACCACACATAAAGTAATGTTATATACTGTTCTAGAAATGAAAGCATTACCAGAGGCTTGCAAGGACCTAATCCTGTATTCCCCCTTGGGTCAGTCAGTTCAGTACTCATAAGTTCAGTATTCTCAGCAACTTTATAGAACATAACTACTACAAATAACAAAAATAAACTGTATCTCATTGGCCCTTCCTAACAAAGCTCTGTAATTGGTACTATCATTATTAACTTTCAAAGGTAACTACTATATGAGGAGAACCAACATGGTAGATGAGTGAATATGCCTACCTTGAATGCTATTCTTAGAAATGTACATATGGGGACTGTTTGTTTGTTTATTTGTTTTAGTACTGGAGAGTGACCCCAGAATCTTTGCCCTGAGCTACATACTTAGCTATTTTTATTGATTTGTTTTGAAGCACTGTCTCCCTACCTTGCCTAGGCAGGCCTCAAACTTATGATCCTCCTGCCTCAGCTTCCCACAGTGCTGCACTACCATCCCTAGCTACAAAAGAGATCTTTAAAACACGTAAAGCACGTCCATAAAGGGAAGCCATAATTATCTTCTAAGCATGGAGTAGATTAGAAGGCTAAAAAGGGTCGGGTAAAGGCAAAGACGTGTTGGGAGAGGTAATCAAAGTGATCCCTAACAGAGAGCTGAGATTCTGAAGAATCACAAAAGCATGCTGTGTTTCTAATGCAGCTTTATAACAGCAAAATATTGGAAACCTCTGTTAAAGCACTAGTGAAAACAATTCCAACAAAGCCATGTAAAGGTACTGACATGGAAAAATGTCCTAGTAGAAAGTCAATGAAGGCCAGGTTGAGTCTCCAGGTACCCAGGGAACTGAGGCAGGAGGATCACAAGTGCAAGGCAAGCATGGGCAACTTAGTAAGACTCTATGTTAAAATAAAAAGGGCTGGGGGTGTAGCACAGCCCTCCTGAGTTCAAACCCCCAGTGCCCTGCCCCTCTACAAAAATGTAAGTGGGAAAATCACATGTTCCACATGATCTCATGGGAGGAGGGGGGATATGTGCATTATTCATGTCATATCTGTAGGGAAATATACATTCTTCTTCTTCGTGATTACCTGTTTAAATGTGGGGTTGTAGAAGACTTCATTTTCTAGATTATATAGACCTGTAATACTCAATTTTTCCTGACATACACAAAAACATAAATTTAAAACAGAAAAAATTAAACTATAATATTTTGAGTATAATTACATTTTAGTATAATTAATCTTATACTAAGGTTTTGTGAACATACAGACACAAGAGGTATGCTCTAAAAATATGATGTTCAAATTTTTTTAAAAATTTAAGGTCAGAGACACATTGTCAATAATTCCCCTCAAAATACCTCCCCCTACACACACACACTTTAAACACACTTATCCCACTGTTATTGTCGGAAGCAGTTTTGGAAATTCTTTTGTGAGTATCTTCAGTTGTGCTATCACAGCTGCTTCAATGTCTGGAATCAATTCAAACTATCTGCCTCTCATGGTCTTGGTGACTTTGGGAAAGAGCCAGAACTTGTGGAGCACCGAGATCCAGTGCTAGATCCAGTGAATAAGGTGGATAAAGACACACCATAATGTTTTTAGGAGGCTGCTTTTCTGTTGGAACTGGGCAGCAACATTTTTGATCATACTTTGTAAAGATACTCATGAAAGTACTTTTAGAACTTCAGACAGTGGCAAGAACAAGGGATAAGTGTGTTTGAAGTGACAGGGAGTATTTTAAGAGTGATTAATGGCAATGTGTCTTTTACTGTAATAAATGGTTGCTTTTTTTTTTTTTTTACTTAAACACACTAGTAATTCTTGATCACCAAAACCCTAATCAAAGCCGAATCAATAAAGCTAAGCAACATCACAATTCAACACAACCACTGCCATTTGCACAGAGCTTATGTTGTACAAAGTACTTACTGGTATTTTGTTTTATTTGATTCTCACTCCAACTCTATGACTGAAGTATAGCAAGGTTTATGATTTTCATTTTACTCATAAGAAAATGAGGTACAGAGGTTATATGATTTGCCCAAAGTCACACACTGTTAAGGTTTAGTTCTAGAATGCTCCCCAGGGTAAAAAGAATTAAGATGTGGTATGTACACATATCAGTTCCTCATGATGCATGTAATCATTACATACTACAAACATGTACTAATAAAAATTTTTTTTTTTAAATATCAAATGAAAAGAATAGAATGTCCTCCAAAAGCCTCGTGCTCAGAGGCAAGGCTTTGGAAGGTGATTGGGTCATGGGGGCTCTACACTCATCAGTGGATTGCCCACCCATGAGTCCATAGCAGGCTTGTTAGGAGTTGGGTCCTGGTCAGAGGTGGGTCACTGGGGGAGTATATCTTCCTCCCCAGTTCCTCCTTTCTCTCTCTGCTTCCTGGCTGTCATGGGCTGTGCAGCTGTTCTTCACCTAGGTCCTTCCTCCACGCTATTTCTGCATTGGAACCTGCTCACCAGATTGAAACTATTGAAACTGAACCAAAATAAACCTCTCCTCCTCTAAGTTGTGGGTGTTGGACATTTTGTCCCAGTGGCAGGAAGGTGACTAAAACACAAAGCTACTAAGTGAGTGAGATCCAATGCTGAAGCCATCCTCCCTCCAAGGATCCTAGAGTCTATGCAACAGGACCATTTCTATGCCAGCAAGCCAAAGAGAGGAGGCATTCTTAGCGTGCTTCACATCTAACTTTTTGTGGACAGCAATGACTGCCCTCAAGACAGCATGTAATCTATACAATGTCACTATATAGCCAGGTAGGGGCAATGGTAGGACTGCTTGAGTCAGATGGGACACACATACAATCCTGGGGCCAAGACTGCACTCACCATTGACAACTCTCTTGCACTGAAGCATCTTGAGGTCAATCAGCTCCTGCAGAGGAATCAGAAGATACTCATCAGCCCTGGACATTTGACCCTGGGTGAGGAGGAGGATCTTCATGGCTAGTGATGGGTAATGGCTGGCCAGTCACCTCACTATCAACAACAAACCATGGCATTTGGAACATGGTGTGTGGTGTTCTCTACCCAAGTGTGGTAAAAAGGGGTCCAGAGGTCTGGTTGACGGCCGTGGCGGAGGAGCGGGTCTGAGCAAACTCAGACTCATCATGTCCTCGGCAGACCAAGTGAGCCACCCCACCCAAGTTGTCCTGCTCTGACCTCTTACTTCCACACACACACCGCCCCCGCCCCCCCTCAATAGTACCACCTCCAAACCACGCCCCTAGCCTGCCTCTATTGCCACGCCTCTAGCCTGCTCTATAAAAAGCCTGATACTTCCACAATAAAACAGATCTGTGCCATCAGCTTGGTCCCCGGTGTCTCCTTTTCACCGTGTCGCCACTTACCACGGGCCCAGGTCCCTCGACCCGAGAGGTTCAACCTCACCCAAGCATGATAAGTAGAGCTCTGACTGACATAACCTTAATTAGCTGGTCTTCCTGGGGACCTTGGAGATGTTTCATGTCAAGAAAGAATGACCCACTCAGAGCCAGGGAAAAGAAAACTTCTCAGGATGTGGGTACCAGGACATTTTCTTCACTTACTAGTCTCAGCTCAAGCCACACCCACAAAAAACCACCTCAATCCCTAGGTGTTGTAGTCAGGGTTTACAAGGAAAACAATACAGGACACATAATTATAGGATTATTTTATAATATAGTCACCCAAAGAATCAAGTTCAAAAGAGGGCAAGAAATCTATCCACACACTAAAGACCCAAAGAATCCAGCTGAGGTCCTGGATCCCATGGTGATGCCCTGCATGAGCTCAGCTGAAGACCTGGAGCCCATAACAATGCCTCCTATGAGTCCAACTGGAGGCTAAGAGCCCACAACAGTCTCATGCATTCACGGATCTGTACTGGGAAGGCCCAAAGGTCAGTGGTGGAATCTAGAAAGTCTGCGCCAGTGGGATGAAGGATCTGTGCCAGCAGGCTGAGGGATCTGCACTGGAGCCAGGAAGGGACACTCAGAGTAACAACCAGAGCTCCCCTGAAAAGTACCACAGCCATCCTCAGCAACAATGAGGTCTCAAGCTCCTCTGACAATGAGAACAGCCGAGTTCACATCAGGAAAACCAACACGACAAGCTTCTCCAGAACACTGAGAGAAGTGCACCATCTTCCCCTCTGGAATCAGGAAGTAATGCTCAAAACAAGGACCAGAGCTCCCCCAAAGTGAACCATAGCCATTCTCAGTGACAACAAGGTCCTGAGCTCCTTTGACAGTGAGAACAGCTAGCTTTTCATATCAGGAAAGCCAGCAAGACAAGCTCCTCCAGGAGAACCAGCAGCCCCAGGGGAACCAACAGCTCCCAACGGCTTCACTTTTCCCTCTCCAGTTCTGCCTCTTATGCTGCCAACAACAATCCTCAGGTGGGCCTCCCACACCCAGCACCACGCTGATTCAATTCACTAGTTGTCAATCCACTACACTGGGCAAAGGGCAGGCAGTAAAAGACTCTCAGGACAGTACTGAGACCAGGAAACAGATTTATGGGAAAGAGGATTTGGGACAGAAAAAAAAAGAAGAGAAAGTCTATCCAACATGGCTCACCCTGTATAAACAAAAGAGCAAGCACCTCGACTCTGGAGATATTCAAACAGACTCAGGAGAAAATGGAAGAGGGGTTCTTCAAAATCAGAATAATAAAAATAAAGAGAACGCGTATGTGTCCTGGAGGACTGAGATGCTCTTAACCCTTAGAGACAACACTGCTCTGTTTTGTTCAGTAATCGTGTCAGCAGATGTGGAAGCCAAGTCAGAAGAGCCAAGAACCTGTCACGCTGCCCAGAAGCTTCTGTCCAGGGACTCTTAGTGTCCAGAGGAAGACAGGAGACTCTCACCCACAACACTCATCCTCATACTGACTCCCCATGAGCCTCAGCAAGTTACAACCCCAGCCAGGTGGACTCAATGACCCAACTTTCACATGGACTCTCAGGGATAACATGGCCAAAGGGCTCCTATGGCACCCATGGGGCTCTTTTCAGTAAATTCACTATCTAGTTTAATGCATGTCCAACGTGTGTCTGTGACTATTCTTTCCATGCAGTACTCAAATAACTGAGCATCTTGTGTCCATTAGGCCTGACCAGACACACAGTGTAGATACGTGATGGGCATCCGAGTCCCAAGAATCATATAGCAAACCAACTCAGAGTGCCTGTAACCACTTGTCTTAGTTAAAAGAGTAAGCACAATGGCAAGTGGGAAATGTTGAATGGCTTGTTCTCAAAAAGGAAGCTCATTAGCTAAGCTGTGCTTCAGCAGGGATACAAGCGGGATAAAGCACGGCAAGACCCAGAGCAATGATTGGGAAATTCATTGGTTGTGACATAGAAATCGCTAGATAATTATTAGCTGACCATTAAGCTAACCAAGCAGAGACTTCATTGGTCACAATAACAAAAACTACAGACTTTACAAAATTAGATCAGAATAGTCACTAAACAACCAACCAACCCTTCCTTGGGTGGGAGAAGAACCTGATTTCCAGAGTTGCCACATCCTACTATTTATATTGTTGTTTTCAACAACAATAACAAATTATGAGACATGAAAAAAAAACCACCAAAGAAATATGGCCCACATATAGGGAAAAAAATGTAAGTAGTGCCTTAGTAGATATGCACTAGTTAAGTAGTGCCTTAGTAGATATACTTAGTAGATATACACTAGTTAAATCAACTACCTAAAATAAGTTAGAAAACAAAAACATGTCTTAAGAACAGAAGGAGCCAGCCAGGTATGGTGGTACACGACCACCCATGTCCCAGCTACTCAAGAGGCATAGGCAGGAAGATCTTGAGTTTGAGGCCAGCTTCGGCAATTTAGCAGGGCTCTGTCTCAGAGTAGAATAAAATGAGGGGCTGGAACATAGCTCAGTGCTCTATGGATCGAATCTCCAGTACCACCAAAATAAAACACAAAAAGAAAACCCTAAGGAATTATATAAGAACAATGTATTCCCCTCCAAGAAATGAATAAAGAAATAGGAGTTATTTTAAAAGAATCAAATAAAAACTCTGAAGTTTAAAAATATAATAATTGCAGTAAAAAAATTCAGTAGAGTAGGCTGAAGAAAATAATCAGCAAATTGAAGTCAATTGGGATTATCCAAATTAAACACCAGAAAGAGGTTATTTGTTTTTCTTTGCTGTGACACCCCTCTTAGCCATGATGTTCCGCATCACTACCGGCCCAGAAACAATGGAACCAAGTAACTATGGGCTGAAACCTCTGCAAGTAAATTGGGGAACAGTGACTCGCACTCTCTGCTGCCTTTTCCAGTGGTACCGGAAAGCCCACAGGAAGTGACTGACACTCTAGCAACCACCACCGCCACTGCAGGCAGCCGTGGGCTCTGCCTGGTGATGGTGACAGGCGTTGGAACTGACTGCCATATCTCAGACTGAAAAGACATCATTCAGCTATTAAATTTGCTTATGAGGTCTCCAGAAAGAAAGAAAAAAGAAATACTGGAAAGAAAAAAAATGAAGAAAAACAAACAGCATCAGAGATCTGTGGGACACGATTAAGCATACAAATATATGCATAATACAGTAGAAGTCCCCCAAGATAGGAGAAAGATATTTGAAAAAATAATGGCAGAAACTTCCCCAAATTTGATGAAAAATATTGTTTATATACCCAAGAAACTCAACAAACTCCAAGTAGAATATATTCGGAGATCCACAACTATACACATCAAAATAAAAGTCAAAAGGAGAAAGGTTTTTTTTTTTCTTTTTCTTTTTCTTTTTTGTGGTACTGGGGATTGAACTTAGGGCCTGTGCATGCTAGGCAAGCACTCTACCACTGTAAAGTTTGTTTGTTTGTGCTTGTTTTTGGTACTAGGAATCTAACTCAGGACCTTGTGCTTGCCAGGTAGGAGCTTGTGCTGCTGAGCTATATCACCAGCCTAAGCATTCTACCACTGAACTACATCTCTAGCCCTTTTTTTTTTTTTTTTTGAGACAGGGTCTTGCTGTGTAGTTCAGGCTGCCCTTGAACTACACAGCCCAGTCTGGCCTTGAACCCATGACGATTCTCCTACCTCGGCTCCCTGAGCACTGGGATTACAGGCGTATGTCCAGCAAAAAGAGAGAGGGTTTTTAGCTGGTTTGTTTTTTGTGGTACTGGGAATTAAACCCAGGGCCTTTGCACTGAGCTACATTCTTAGCCTCCCCACTATTTTTTTTTTTTTTCTGTTTCTTGAGACAGGGTTTCAGTGAGTTGCTCAGCCTGGCCTTGAACTTGTGATCCTCTCACCTTAGCCTTCTGAGTAGATGGGATTACAGGCAGGTAGCACCATGAGCAGCTGGGTTTCTTTTTGATGTGGTGGAAATGTCTCAAAGTTGACGGTAATGACCGATAAAAACTCTATAAATTTACCAAAAGACCTTGATCAACACACTTAAAGTTGGTGAATTGCATAAAGGAATTTGAACCATATGCCAGTAAAGGTATTTTTTCAAAATGTTACGAAGCCTAGCATGATGGAGCATGCCTGTAACCTCAGCACTCAGGAGGCTGAGAAAGGAGAAGCATGAGTTCAAGGCCAGCCTGGGATACATACACAGAAAGTTCAAGGCTAGCCTATACCATAAGACTTCGTCTTAAAAAACAGACAAACAAATGCTAAGATGAATTGGGTCAATGACAAAACTAGAATATGGAAGGTAGATTAGAAGAGGTATGTACATCAATTTTAAATTTATGGAAGCTGATAGCTGTATGATAGTTCTACAGGAAAATGATCTTATTCTTAGATGACATCAAAAAAGAGTGAATGAAGCCAGGCATGGTGACTCAATCCTACAATCCCAGCACTCTGGAGGCTGAAGCAGAAGGGACACCATGAGTTCAA